TGAGGTTCCCCTGTGGAAGTGGGAGTGCATCACCATGGATTTCTTTGTGGGACTGCTGAAGTCGAGGGGTGGGTATGATTCGATTTGGGTGATAGTGGATCGCCTTAGGAAGTCTGCCCATTTTCTGCCAGTGCGGACGACCATGAAGGCGAGTGATTACGCCGAATTGTTCGTCAAGGACATTGTTAAACTTCATGGAGTGCCTGTGGAGATTGTTTCGGATCGAGATGCCAAGTTCACATCCCAGTTCTTGAGGACGTTGCACCGAGCCATGGGGACGAGGTTGGAGTTCAGTACAGCCTTTCACCCCTAGACAGATGGTCAGTCAGAGCGTGTGATCCAATACTTGGAGGATATTTTGAGGGCTGTGGTCTTGGACCGAAGCCTGACTTGGGAGTATGCCCTTCCGCTAGTCGAGCTGACCTACAACAACAGCTATAACTCTTCGATCAAGATTGTCCCGTACGAGGCTTTGTACGGACGTCCGGACCCCTTTGTATTGGGATGAGGTCGGAGAGAGAAGGATTACAGGTCCGGATTTTGTTCAGAGTACTGCAGCGACCGTTGAGGAGATCCGGAAGACCATCAGGTCTGCCCAGGAGAGGCAGAAGGTCTATGCCGATCGGGAGAGGCAGGAGCATGTTTATGCTGTGGGAGATCATGTCTTTCTGAAGGTTTCACCCATGCGAGGTGTGATTCGCTTCGGGAAGAAAGGGAAGCTTAAACCTCGCTATATTGGGCCGTTCGAGATCCTCGACCGAGTCGGAAACTTAGCGTATCAGATGGCTTTACCACCAGACTTGTCAGGTGTGCACGACGTGTTCCATGTCTCCATGCTTCGGAGGTATGTGCATGATACCGATCATGTGGTGGACTTCAGCGAGCTGCAGGTCGAGCGAGACCTTACCTATGAGGAGGTGCCGGTAGCTATCCTGGACCGGAAGGTCCATCAACTGAGGAACCGGGCAGTGAGCTTGGTGAAGGTGCTGTGGAGCCGACACGATGAGACTGAGGCTACTTGGGAGAGGGAGGACGGTATTAGGAGGCGTTATCTGAACTTTATGTTTTGAGTTCCTTTTGTATATTTATTCTTAGTGCTTTCTAG